GACAAAAATTTTATTAGGTAAATCGATATTTTAAATATCAAATTATAAAGAAGAATACCTGCTTTATATGATAGTATGGCTAACTCATTTTTGCAAAAAATGCCATAAGCCCTCTTTTAATTGACCGATCCCCATATCTCAAGATTTTATTAATGGCTATCCATTTTGAATTTGTACTAAATTTAGTACACTACAAAAAAATTGTTTTTGGACTAACTTTTTAATTAATTTTTTTTATAATTTATTATAATATAATTTAATATTAAATATATATAAATATAAAATTTTAAATAATATTTATTAATAAAAATTTAAAGTAAAAAAATTTTAATCATACATGATTATATTGAAAATTTGCTGTACTAAATTTAGTACAGTAGCTTTTGCAAATAATTTATTAACTGTATATATAATAAAACAAAATAATACCTAAAACATATTTTATTTATTTATATATTTACATATTTAAAAGATGGTTACTAAAACAATCTTTACAAATTCCCTTTGAAGTATCACAACTACAATAATATCGTGTTCATGTACTACAAGATTTATAGTGAAGTTGTAGATAAATTATATTGCCTAAGTCATTTGTTCTAGTTAGAAGCGAACATAATTGATGTTGTTGATTTGTTTGTGATCGTGTTTGCATTCTTGATAATAAATTTTCATTTATTTGACTATGTTTACTAATTATCTCATGTGCTAACTGTCGTTTAAAATCAAAATGAGTTGTGTTTTGTGCATCTTCATGCTATTTTTTAAAAGTAAAAAAGGCATTTGCTTCAGCAATACCAAGTAAAAATGCAAATATACGTAATTCCCAGCTTGTTCCTCTCATGATATCATGAAAAGAAGGCATAGTATTATGCACCTAATAATAATTAATTAAGTTTAAAATATTAAATAATAAAAAAAATACTAATATACCTGATTATTAACATCAACAACCCCTTTTGACTTAGAATATTCATGAAAAATTTTTGGTTTAATAAATTTAACAGTTGATGATTTAGAATTATTTTTTACTACTTGTGTAACTTCATCATCAAGTGTTGTAGTTGATGCTGTTGCTATAATACATTGTAGTTTTCTATTCTGTAAAGATGCAGCAATCAAATATACATCATCAATCATTGTAACTTTTGAAATAAAGGAGCCATA